TATGATTCTTTCTGCAGCTTCCCTCACTGTTTTTCCTTCAATGCCTCGTTCAATATCCCTGTGGTAAAAGGAGTCAGGCAAGGCTGTTTACTTGCTCCATTTCTTTTTAATCTTTTGAAAAATGAAACTGTAGAGTTCCCAAAGGGTGATTGTTATTTCCCAGTCATAGGACAAAAGTGGCTCAATCCTCCTTTATGGCAATGACACTGTTCTAATATTCCATGCTCAGGTAGGATTACGTAGGTTGTTAGTACAATTAAGTGATTACTGACAAAATGAACAGCTCTCTGTAAATTATAGTAAAACCAAGGTACTGGTATTTAGTAAATCTAAGCAAATTTATACCTGGAATATTGATGCAAATAATTCAGATTAAAATAAATCTCTTCCTTTAAGTATCTTGGGGTTATATTCCAATAAACAGGAACTTGATCTCTCCAAGTGTTCACTAATGCTTTGCTGGCTGATAAAGATTCTCGGTGATTTACTTTTATGCATTTGTTTCTATAACTCTATTTAAAAAAAAAAAAAAGGGGGGGGAGTTGTTGCCTCCAAGATCCCCCAGAAATCCAGCTGTAGCCCCAGTCCCATTATCTATTGCCTACTTTTATCTATCTATCTATCTATCTATCTATCTATCTATCTATCTATCTATCTATCTATCTATCTATCTATCTATCTATCTATCTATCTATCTATTCATCATCTATGTAAGTTATATCCTGCCTTTCTCTCTATGCAGGATCCAAGGTGAATCATTCTAGGTGATGGTCCAATGTTCCCTCTGCCAGTGACTAAGCAAAAACCATTTGCAAGTTAATGGAAAGGCATCTAAAGTCTTAAATCTCTTTTTAACCACTCAATGCAGCCTCTTAACTGTTGAGTTTGAGCAGAAGTATGGTGGCCCTGGTGTGTGTGTGTGTATACATCTTTTAAAATTATTATTTCATTGACATTATCCTCCTCCAAGCATCTCTTACATGTCCTTGCCACTCAACAAAGGGGAAAAAATAACATGAGAATAATTTTCAATTGAGAAGAAAATAGCCAGTGTGGAAGAAGGTGAAGTCCCCTCTTAAAAACTTATAGTCACAATTTATACTCCCATGCAAGAGTTAGGTGTTTCTACATGTTATGACTAGTCTAGTCTTAAAACACAGGTAATAGACATCTGCTAGAAGTAGTAGAGTGTTTCTTAAGAATTCCAGAACGTTTTTATTGTTGATGAGATTTTATTCCTTGTATACTGACATTAAAGATTTAATTGGCTCATTTAATCTTGGAGGCATAGGTTTAAGTGGAACCTCTCCATAACTCCCCAGGTATTTCACTACCATCATATATTTAGGAATGCATTTATCATTGTAATTACACAATGTAAGTGTTTCATAATTGCATGAGGCACATATTTCATGTATTTTATTATAGTCTCCCACAGAATATCTCTAAATAGACATAGCCATCAAGGATGACAGATCAGCTTGTTGCCAGTTCCCTGTAAGGCAGGGTGGGTAGGGGAGCTTTAAAGGGTCACTTACCAAATAGTTGGGCAGGAGGGCAAGCTCCCCCTCTATGCTATCTCTCTACCTTTTCTCTAGCTCTATTGACTTTAATGGTGAGTTTAGTGGTTTTAGTGTTTGACTATGACTCTGGAGACCAGGATTCGATTCCCTGCTTGGCTATGAAACCCACTGGACAAATCACATTCTCTCAGTTGCAGACCAAGGCAATGGCAAACCTCCTCTGAACAAATCCTGCCAAGAAAACCCCATGATAGGATAAGTTGGAAATGACTTGAAATCCTATAGCAAGGGAAAACAAATTGAGTTTAATAGAACATCACTTTAAAATGCTAAGAATCTATTATATCCTGATCATGTTTTCAAGATTTACTTTGGATGAAGCAAAGGAAAAATAATGGGAAAGAGAAACAGAGAAAGGCAAAGAGAAAGGAGATGATGAATATAGCTAGAAATGCAAGTGAAAAGTGATGAGAGAAAGAAGTAGAGATTGGAAAGGAGGAAGAAGGCATAGAAAGAGGACAAGAGGCAGAGACAGAAAGGAAGGAGAAGATGTTTAGCTATGAGCTTGGGGAGAAGGATTAGAACAAGAGAAGGAGAGGGACTAGGAGACAAAGGAGAAGATGAACATGGGCAAGAGTTGTGAGAGGAATAAGAGAAAGAATCATAGAATCATA